CCTGCCTCTAGGGCCAGCAAAGAGACCCCTGCAATCTCCTTCTGATTAGTTGTTCAACCTCCTTACCATCTATGGGCTGAGAGCTCTGGAAGCAACCACTGCCATTGCAGAATCAGTAGTTCCTAAGGCCTGTTCCTGGATTGCTGGGGCCTGGTCTTTGCTGGCTCAACCTTCACTGGACTGTGCTCCACTCTCACCCAGGTGCAACAGACTTTCCTGCTACCCTTCTAAGTTGTCTTTGGCTGGGAAATTATTTCACCCTGTCCTTTTGTGGGTTTTGCCACTATAGGAATTGTTTTATGTCATTATTTAAAGGTGTTCAAAGGGGTTTTGGGGAGAGCTCACTGCCTTTTCTCCACCATTTGGCTCTCTTCATGATCTCTTAACTACCAAATCTAATGGTGCTTTTTTTTTTAATCCTTATGTTTCATGATGTCTCTGTAGCCTCTGACACTGTTGATCAACCCTTTCTCCTTGATACTCTCTTCACTCTAGGCTTTTATGACATGCCTCTACCATGGTTCTCCTCCTCCCTATCTGACAACTCCTTCTCTGTCTCTTTTTCTGCATCCTCATCCAAGTCATTCATGATAACTGTGGGTGTCCCAGAGGGCTCTCTCTGCTCATCAGTTCCACGGATTAAATTATCATCTCTATGCTGATGATTCTTAAATGTTCTTATCCAGGACTAATCTCTCTGATGACTACAGTGCAATAAAATTATATTTAATAATTGCCCACTGAAGAAAGGATTAAAATTAACTGGAGATAAAATAACTCATTCCTAAATAATTGATGAGTCAAGGAATGAATCATTGAAAAAGTAATTTCATTAAAATTATAACAATGAGATAGCATGCCAAAATTTTGTAGATAAGTAAAAATTAATATCTCTAAACACTTTCATTAACAAAAGAGATAAAGAACAAATTGAAACAAAAAATTTAAAAGCCATTGAATTAATAAATAAAACTAGGAATTGATTCTTCACATCTAATGAAGAATAATTAATATTATTTAAAATATTTCCAAATGCAAATTAAACCTACAATTTAAATGAAGTACATGAATATTTCAAAATACAAGATACCAAGAGAAAAGAGGAAAAAAGAGAATTTAAATATTTCATTCTTAGAAAAAGAAATTGAACATACTATAAATGAATGCCCAACTGGGGAGGGAGGGACCGTGATTGAATGTATTTAAAATCTAATTTTATGAAACATTCAGAGAATAATTAATTCTAATGTTATATAAACTGCTTGAAAATATAGGAAAAGGTGAGATTCAGCCAAATTCCTTGTATGACACTAATATCATCTTGAAACTTAAACCAGAGAGAATCAAAATAGAAAAATAATTATAAAGGAATATCCCTAATGAACATTGTTGCAAAAAATAGAAATAAAATGTTAGTAAGGAAGCTATAGCAACATATCACAAGGATTATTGAGAAAACAAATTTTGAAAGCCTAAAAAACAAATAAAAAAAATATTAACAACCATAATAGCAACTAAGACCATGTGAGATCTGTACCAGTCACAAAGAGTTTGTTCAATTATTACAAAACTATAAACATAAATTGACAACATTAACAACAAAAACTATAGATTAAAAAAAATAAATTTAAAAGCTTTTGACAAAATACAACACCCATTCCTATTGGTTTTTAAGAAATAACAAATAGTGTCCCAATTTTTCTACATCCCTTCCAACATTTGTCACTTTCCCCTTCAATCATTTTAGCCAATCTGCTGGATGTAAAATGATACCTAAAAGTTGTTTTTAATTTGCATTTCTCTAATCAATAATGATTTAGAGCATTTTTCATGTAACTATAAATTATTTTGATTTCTTCATTGGAAACCTTTCTGTTCATATACTTTGGCCACATCAATTGGGGAATGACTCATATTCATAATAAATTTGACAAAGTTTTTTTTTTAATATATATATGAGACGAGACCTTTACCTGAGAAATCGTCTATAAATTCCCCTCCCAAATTTTCTGCCTTTCTTCTGATCTGTGCTATATTTGTTTTGTTTGTACAAAAACTTTTAAACTTAATGTAATCGACAGTATACATTTTACACCTAACTTTGCTCTCTATCTCTTGTTTACTCATAAATTGTTCACCTATCCATAAGTCTGATAAGTAGTAAGTTCCATGTTCTTCTAATTTTCTTTTAATATCTCTTTTTACATCTAGGTCATGTATCCATTTTGATCTTATCTTGTTAAATGGTGTAAGTCTGTAAGATACTGGTCTATGCCCAGTTTCTGCCATACTACTTTACAGGTTTTCCAACTTTTTTTTAACCAAATAATGAATTCTTATCCCAAAATCTCAAGTCTTTACACTTGTCAAATAGGAGGTTATTTTATTTATTTGTTGCTATAAATTATATGCCTACTCTATTCCATTGATCTACCTTTATATTTCTTAGCCAGTACCAGATAGTTTTGATAATGACTGTCTTATAATATAGTTTAAAATGTACACTGCTAAATCTCCTTGACCTTTGTTATTCCAAATGAATTTTGTTATTATTTTTTCTAATTCACTACAATTTTTTTTAATTGGGATGCCGCTGAACATGTGACAAAATTGTCATTTTTATTATATTGACCCTGGATATCAAAATATCTTAAAGAGTTTAATTAATAAAATGTAGTGCAGCCAGACCATTATCACAGTCTGAACTGTTGCCTGTAAATGCTGGGACATAGCATTATCCATAAAATTTTGCTATACCAAATACACATAATCTCCAAGCTGTGTGGAATGAAGGGAATTCAAAGTTTTGAAAACTAGCAGAAGAAATCAGAATCATAGGGGAACAAGGTGATGTACATATCATTTCTGTTCTGTTTATTACTGGAATTGTAGCAGTTTTTAGAATATTTTTAGTGAGCCTACAAAGAATGAAGTTTCATTCTTATCATGACTTTTATAAAACTAGTCAAAGCAGTTATTTTATACATCTGTTCAATGTTCCACAGAACTCTAAATATAAAAGAATATTTTAGGACCATTTTATCTGAATTATCAGAATTCTATCCAACAAGATAAAAATGATTATTTTATGTTAATAATTGACATGTAAACATTTCTTTAAAGTTTGCAAATCATTTCATCTACATTATCTTATTTGAACCACATGACTACTCTGTGAAGTAGTTACTATAGACAGTATTATTCTGAACCTGTGATAGGTAACTTCTGGTGAGGCAACTCCCTTTATTAACAGAGATAAGCAACTGTACAGCAATTTATAGCTGTTTATGGGTTGCCTGTGGCACTGAGAGGTTAAGTGCTTTGCTGAAATTCACACAGCAAGTACCAAGCATATGTTAGAAGTACAATTAAGATCCAGTTCTTTCTGATTCCAAGGCCAACTCTCTATACACTATGTCATGATGTGTCTCACTAATGGTATCATCCTCACTTTAGAGCCAATGAAAATGGGACTCAGAGAGTGACTTCCGCATGGTCATATGACTTGGAAAGTGGGCAGATTGAAATTCAGGACTTCCAGATTCCAAGTTCATCTTCTTACTGAATTACTAGATAGATATTGCAGTTGGTTGAAAAATCATACCTAAAAAGGTCTGGAATATGAATGGATTGATATAAGTCTGGGAAGATATATACTGTGTGTGTGTGTGTGTGTGTGTGTGTGTGTGTGTGTGTGTGTGTGTTCACATATATATATGTGAGCGAAATTGCTTTTAGTAGAGAGCACTAATTTTAGATTAAGATTTTTCTTCAAGTCCTGACTCTGAAACTTCTGGGTGTAAGTTTGCAAGTTGATTAATTTAAGCCTTAATTTCTTCATCTGTAAAACAGAAATAATATTTCTGCTATTTTACCTCATATGGTAATTGTAAAGAAAGTGCTTTATAAGTCTTGAAGCTCTATATAAACATCTTATTAAAGATAATGGATTGAACTAAATCATTTCCTTTTTCCCTTGAGTCCAATGGTCCCTTTAGTGAAGCAGTTGTGCTTGAGAATATAGGCTTGGAGAAAGCTAACAGGATTGTGAGGGTTATCATTAGCATTAAACCTTAACCAAGAGAACAAATTAAATAAATAAAGACCAAATCCCAAGAAGGGATACACAAAAAGGGAGGCTTTAACAGAATATTAGAGTTAATAAGGATATTTGTGATAATCTCATTTCTCATTTTAAAGACCAAGAAACTGAGTCCCAGAGAGACTGTAAGTGTTCCAAGGTTACACAGATAGTTTGTGGCAAAACTGGAATTGGGTTACCAAATACAATTCTATTTCCACCATATGATGCTGTGTGCCCAAGTTTCATACAACCAGAGAATGTTTCTTAGTAGCTCTAGTTTAATGCTACAACAGAGAAATATGTACTTTGGGATGAACATAGATCTATTTTGTTATAGAGCATTCAAGTCATGTTACTTAAGACAACATTTATATAAGAGATACACTGAAATGTGTGCAAGAAGACAAGATATCTCATTGTGGTTACTAACCCCACTTGGTCAGTGAACTAATGACAAAATCTATAGAAATAATCATGGTGTGGCTGCTTAGTCACATGTCATTACATTTCAACCTCAGAGGTTTTTTTTTCCTCTAATCTGACTTTCTGTAGCAATTATTTTCTTTATAATTTCTGGAAATATTAGTGAAGTTATTTTGGTGACCTAGGCAATCCACCCCAGACATTCATTACCTTCAGTGTTGCCTTGACTCCTCTATAGCATCATAATTACATCATTTTGACATCATTTCACAGTTATGAAATATAAAAGTTTCCCCAAAAAATTTTTGTTGCCTCAAAACTAACCACAATCCTGTCCTTTTCAGAACGCACTCTTGTCATTCCAAGAAATTACAATCAATCTAAATATTTTTGGCAAAGATATAGGGACTGAGCAGTGTTTATTGAATTTATGGTCTGAATTCTATTACAGCAAAGTTCACAGAAAATGATTTGTAGAGAAAAAAATACTTACTGAAAATTATGATTTGGATTGTGTGTTGGACCTAAAGAAATAAAGCAAACAAAAATTATTAACAATCTATGACTAATAATATAAAAATTCAGAATCAATGATACAAGGCTAGAATTCATGGCTTTTATTTTATAGAATGTTTGTCTCAAGTCAAGGACTTAGGTTTCCTTGCTCATAATTATATACTAACTATACTGAAAAAACATACACTCTTTCAAACACAGGTGAGGAAACTCCCTTTACTGACGCAGGTAGGTGATTTCTTTTTAGGTTATGTCTTAAAGCATTTCCTAAAACATTGAGAGGTTTAGTAACCAACCTTGGTTCACGTGGGTGGTTATATCAAATGTAAGATCAGAACTGGCTTAGAGGCTGACTGTTTATCCATTATACTATACTGCTTCTGCTGTCGATGAAACTTGCATGACTTTAATTTTGGAGTAATTTTTGTTACATAAAAATACACATTTCAAATGATAAAGAATTACTTGATGCAATGACTCTCTTACTAAATTCTTACCTTAGGGACCAATGAAATGTCATCGATATTGCCTGTGACCCTGCCATAACTTGAATGACATAGTGTTTACTTCCATCTTAGCATTTAAATTCACTTTACCTTTCATGAGAACTAAATAGTAAGATTATATCATTCTCTCTCTTTTACTCTTTCTCTTTGTCTCTCTGATGCTTCCCAAATACATACAAACTGAATTTAAGTTTGCATGACTGATTAAGTATTGTGAGGCTAATAATACTTGTCATATCACAAATGCAAAATATAATAATAATAAAATAATAAAGATAATAATAGAAGAAAATAACTAGCAAATAAATCTTGGTTTGATCAATTAAGTAAAAATTCTAACCACAAAGTGTCGGTATATCCTCACCCAAGAGCTCATTGTATGGCATGTGGTCAGCATTTAAAAGAAAACTAGAAGCAATGAAACATCACCTTTCTGTTATATATGGACAAGAACAAGGTACAACGGTTATTCTTTCTGAACTATATTATTATAGACAATTACTCTCTTTCATTACTAATGGCTGCATATCAGTTCAAAACAAGAGCTCTTGAGATATCAAGGAATTACTTTATTAGGTTGCTTTTATGTTGAATTGTGTGTGTGTGCTTTTAAATAGCAAATTAATATCTCAGTTATATACAGTATATACTTAGAGAGGGTAGACATTTAAAGCATAGCATGTTTTCAGTATAGTGACTCACCAAGCCTCACAAAAAGGACTCCGGTTGCTGTGATGGTCTTCATTCCATTGGTAGCCACACACTGGTAGTACCCAGTGTCTGTGGTATCCAGATCTTGTATTCTTAAACGAGAACCATAGTCTTTTTTCCTGATGATAATCCTATGTGGTTCTTGAACCACAGGTGCATCATTCTTTAGCCAGCTGATGTTTGGAAATGGATTTCCTGCCACTTTGCAGTAGAGAATTGCTGTCTGGCCCTGGACTATGGTGATATTGTTTACTGGTTCCAAAAAATTCAAAAAGTACCCTATAAAGCATAAGGGTTGAGAAAAATCAAATGTCAATAAGGCTAGAATAAAAAGCAAATCTGATGAAGCACTCTGAAGAAAGATTTCAGTTTTCTTTTACTTTCCTCAGTTATGCATATAAATGTTATTTCTAATCTTAACCAGGTAAAACATCAACACTGCTAAGATAGTTTAAGGGTACTTTATGTGTAATCTTAGCTGATTCTATTTTTATGGGCAAATTAGAATCCAAGGAAATATTCATTTAGCGAAATAAATGTCATTGTAAGGTCACAAAAGGGACTGACCTTGTAATTGAATCGCAGAATTTCAAAGTTGGTATGAACCTCCAAGGCCATCTAATCAACAACTCATTCCTGAAAGAGAATCCTGACTCCAATATACCTTAGAAGCAGTCATCTCTTGAGACCACCTGAGGCACCTGCCCACTCTTTTTGAGTATACTTATAATTGTTAGGAAGGTTTTCCTGGCATCAAGCTCAAATCTGCCTCCCTGCAACTATCACCAAACTACCATCGCCACTATTCTGGTTGTCTCCTTTAGAAATACCATAACATTCCAGGTGGAAAAAAACACAACACTAAGACATAAATAGGCACTTAATATTGAATTAAAGGCTTTCTCTATTTTAAATAAACAATATATTCTTAGGTTCATTAGTATTATGTAGGGGGTGGGGGCCATTTTCCTCAGCTGCAAAGACTTATGAGAAAATAGACTTAAATTTGACCCTTTACCTTTATTATTTTTCCTTCTTCTCCTTGTTCTTCACAATAATATTTGTTGCTAGCCTTCTCACTGAAGGTTAAGTTTCACTCACTACACACATTTTTAAAAAAAGTATGAATTAAAGTAATAGCAACATTGTGCGATGACCAACTTTGATAAACTTAGCTCTTCTCAGCAATACAGGGATATAAGACAATTCCAAAAGACTCATGATGGAAAATGCTATCCATATCCAGAGAAAGAACTGTGGAGTCAGAATGCAGATCAAAGCATACCATTTTCTCTTTTTTTTTTCTTTCTTGTGGCTTTACCCTTTTTTCTGAATCTTCTTTTACAACATGACTAATGTGGAAATATGTTTAATATGATTGTACATGTATAGCCTCTATCAGATTGCATGCTATCTTGGGGAAGGAGGAGGAGAGGAAGGGGGAAAAATTAGAACTCAAAATCTTATAAAAATGAATGCTGAAAGCTGAAAATTAATTAATTAAAATACATAAAAGTAGAAATTAAATTTTATAAATTTTAAAAAGAATTAATAAATTTCACATTACTTTCAAGATTGTAGTGCTTATCTATGCATCTTCCTTAACTTCCTTCTGCTCTTTTCTGTCCATTAAAATGTTTTAATAGACCTTTTTTTCTTTGTTGTTCCTTTTATTAACCCTCAAGTTCTCTCTAGCCTCCACCCTCCCCATTAACGCAGCTTTGCATGATAAAATTTTCTTACTGTCTTCTAGGGGCTATTCCCCAGGGCTTCCAAGTTCCCTACCCAAGGGTTTTTTATGACTACCCTAGAGCTTTCTGCTTTTGCTGCCTCTAGATAGAGAGCCTTGCTCACTACACCTGCCCTATCTCTGATCATGCTGGTGCTCACCTTGCTTGAGCGCACCCCTTTTACCATCATGGGCTACTATTCTGAGGCGAAAGAAGGTACTTATAGCTTATGATTGAATCATTATTTGGTATGCTGGGAAGCTTTAAGGATTTACTGGAAGATGTATTAGGGAGATGGGTAGTCTGCCTCCTTTTCAGGCAGACATTTGGGCAGAAAAACTACTATAAAATTTTTTAAAAGAGAGTCTATACTGACAGGTCACACACTTTATATAAATCAAAATTAGCACTTCCATTTCCCTCTGTTCTCCTTTGGAGACACTGAAAATGACTGAGAGTATTGAAGAAGGGGAATATGATGGAGAATGTGGGACAAAATTGGATAAAGGGTGCATGTAGAAAAATTTCCTTTGGCAAGGAGAAATGCCATCTCACCATGGGAGAAAAGGTAAAGGAGACAATGGAGGAAGACATCTAAGTAAAGTGAGGTGAGGAGGAAGGGAAAAGGAAATCTTGGTGATATTCTCAATTTTTTCAGTGAAGTATGAGGTCGGGTTCTCAGCTTATGTGTTATAGGACTATCTCTGTGTTTAGCTAAAATGGAATAAAGGTATAGTTCATGAGAATCACATAGATCACATATAGGAACTGAGAAATTAGGGTAATTTAGGTGAATATCAAAATGTATGTTGAAAGACCCTATAATAAGGCCCTACAATGTAGTTGGGGTGGACAGAGAATGTGAGTCAGACACTGAACTCATTGAGAAAATATGGTAATTATCAGGAAAGTAGGGGAGACAGAGTGGACAGTAGATAATAGCAACCAGAATTTTGATTGAGTGACAAATCTGAATTTAATGTACCTTAAAGGAGAAGTTACTTTTCAATGATTTTTTATTTATTTAGTGATTTGAACTTTAAATGATCTCCAAAGAAACTGAAGTGATTTTGTCACTAGACTATACTGCAGACTATCTGACCAAAGAAAAAATAATAGGTGCAGAGTTTAGAAAACAGATCACAAGCCTGGTGCAGAGAGATAGAAGATGCTCAAGAATAAAATTCTGAAGACACGAAGGAAAACAATTCCAATGAGGAGAATCATCGATGTGCATGCACAGGGGAACTCATCAACCAATATATATTTAACAAACAAATGTACAGAAGATGGAAGCAAGGCCAGGTAACAACAGAATTAATATGAGAGCATGACCTTATCCTGTAAAATAGTTTCAGGAATACCAAAGCACAGAATGTTAAATGGGGTGGGAGAAGCTAAAGACAATAAAAAGGATGACTTTTTTAAAGAATTATGTTGAGATAAAAGGTAAGATTAATGAATAGATAAGGCCTGTCTTTTGGTTTGACAAGGCAATGATTACTGAGAGAATACGGGGTTACTCAAATCTTATTTTGTTTCCATCTTCTCTTAAGGAGACATATTAAAATCTCTGAAAATCTTTTCAGGTCAACTGAACGCTCTAAGAAATAAATATTTCTCCAGAATAAAATCTTTACAGACTTTTCTGAAGGAAGGGCACTTTATTCATATTTAATTAAACTTCTTAAGACATAATGCCCTCCACTAAAATATTGCTCCCACCCCTTTCTCTTATGACTAACCACTTTTATTTTGGAAAGTGTACAAATAGTAATGAATGAAAGGAGAAAATGGATTAAGGGGAGGAAAGAATACTGAACTAATCAGAAATACCTCATGTTTTGCTAAGATCACTGTCTTCCCCAATCCCCAGAAGATTTTAGAGCAGTGGTTCTTAACCTGGGGCGTGTAAATTTATTTCTGAAACATTTTGATAACTGTATTTCAATATAATTTGTTTCCTTTGTATTTCCTTTTGTATATGTATTTTTATGAATTTTAAAACATTATTATGAGAAGGGATTGATAAGTTTAACCAGACTGCCAAAAGGGTGCAGGGCATAAAAAATTTTTTAGAGGTTTGAGAGACATAATTTCTGGATAATTTAGTAATTTTATTAATAAGACCAGCAGCTGATTAATAAAAGGATGGTCATTTGGCTTTCTCTCTTAGACCAAAGACAATTGTGGTGGCAGAGCTCACAGTTTATACATCCTTTTCAATGGGGGGGGTGAGAATGACCCCTGAACCCCTAGAGAAATTATCTCTACTCAGACCATTCCTACCCTTCTGTTATCTAAATGAAAGAATCTGTCTGTACCCAAGCTTGAGCAGATCACAATAGGCTTCCTCATCCCAGATTAAATTCCTTGCAAGGTTGTGGTGGTGGGGTTCTGACCAATATTGCAATCTCATTATCAGTAATGTCCTTCAAGAAAAACACAGAACTTTTAAAGGACTTTAGAAGAAGGGGAGAACTCTGAATCTCCCCCCCCCCCAAAATTGGTTATTAATACTAATTTCTTACATTTCCCTATTTGATAAAATTATTAACTTAGGTTAAGTGAATTAGTCAGTATCACACACCTAGTACTTGTCTGAGGCCTATTTGAACTCAGGTCTTCTTGACCCCAGGCCTGCTGCTCTATCTACTTTGCAACCTAGCAGCCAAGATTGACAATAATAAAATCAGATAGATTCAGAGCTGGTTGGATAGCCAGACTCAAAGAGTTGCAATTAATGTTCAGTGTCAATGTGGCATGGGGTCTTCAGTGGAGTAGAGGAGGAGGAAGGGAATATGAATTTATTTTTTATTTTATTTTTTTTATGTTAACACTTTAATCATTACCTTGACCTAATGTTTTCTTTTCTATTTATTTTTAGTTTTCAACATTCACTTCCACAAGATTTTGAGTTCCAAATTTTCTCTCCATCTCATCCCTCCCCCCACCCCAAGATGGCATGCATTCTGAATACCCCTAATCTGTCCTCCCTTCTATCTCTCTCCCCCTTCTCTTATCCCCTTCTCCTTCAATTTTCCTTTAGGGCAGGATAGATTCCTATACCCCATTTCCTGTATATCTTATTTCCCAGTTGCATGTGAAAACAATTCTTTTAACTTTTGTTTTTAAAATTTTGGGTTCCAAATTTTCTCCATTCCTCCCTCCCCATCCACCTTCACTGGGAAGGCAAGCAACTCGATACAGGTTATACATGGTTAGCCATGCAAAACACTTCCATAGTAGTCATGTTGTGAAAAACTAAGTATATTTCACTTCATCCTATCCCACCCCCCATTTATTCTATTCTCTCTTTTGACCCTGTTTCTCCTTAGAAGTGTTTGCTTCTGATCACCCCCTCCCCAATCTGCCCTCCCCTCTGTCATCTTCCTGCTCTCTTGTCCCCTTCTCCCCTATATTCTATAGGGTAAGATAGATTTCCATACCCAGTTGAGCATGTATGTTATTCTCTCCTTAAGCCAAATCCGATAAGAATAAGACTCACTCATTCCCTCTCATCTTCCCCCAATTCCTCTCCACTGCAAA